TGGGTTTCACAGCTCAGCCCGGGCGGCTGCGACGGCAGGGGAGGTGTCACTGCCTGCCCGTATCCCCTGCACCCCACGCTCACCACTGCGGGATCGGCATAGCCCCTGCGTCCCAAGGGGCCGATCAGCCCTGGCCACTATCCCCACCACTCTCCTTTGTTCCCTTGGCGCTGGCCTACCTGGTTTCCCAGCGAGAATCACGCTGCCTAAGCACCAGCCCCACCAAATTTGCAGCAAATCGAAACTAAACCCTTGCACATCCTAAAGAAATAAAACAACCGAGCAAGTAAAAGCAGGGCAGGCAGATTTGGTAGAAGCTGGCTGGGAGGGCTGAAGTAAAGCAGAGAAGGGCTAGGAAGGGCTAGGAAAAACATCCCATCTGTCCTGCTCAAAACTCCCCTCTCCTGGTGGAAAGAGCTTTACCGGAGCTCTTGAGCTTTCCCTGCCCAAGCCCTCAAAGCTTGACAGGCTGCCCAGGTGCTGCAGCAGCCTGTGGAAAGCCCCACGCCACAGGTGGAGGTGCTGCAGTGGTTTCAGCGCGGGCGGCTCGGCACGCAAAGGCTGGAGTGGAAGAGCCTGGCTCTGGCTAGCTCCAGCGCTCCCCTCTTCCAGCGTTCGTGCTTCACTTCCCACCCTCCAGCTGCCACCTCTCTTCAGCCACTAAGTAGAGAGGATTTATTCCAGGGGAACTCAAAAAAACCCACCAAGACCCACAGTTTGGTAGAAGCGAACTTCTGCCTCTTCAGTTGTACCCAAGGCTCTGGATCACGGCAGCCTGCAGGCACACACAAGCCACCACCATCACTCTCAACAATTTCCATGCTGCACAAGGCAGCTCCTTTACCCATCACGGAGGTATGGGCACACCACTAACCACTGCACTAAGGTTTGCACCCACTGCACTCTGTTTCTACCTTCCTCCCTTCTCATGCTCTTACGCACTTGCTTGCAGGTCAGCAATACCAGAGGACCTTCAGGAGAACACCCTGACCCAAACCTCCACTGCCCGGAGGTCCACACGAACAGGCAAATTTGTCAGAAGCTTCCCTTTTTGTCAGGGATATGCATGTATGATGGGACATGTGTTACTTTCTGGACTGCAAACTGAAGCTTTTGCTTAGTTCCACAAGCAACACATTGAGCTGTACCTCTATTTCTTTTATACAAGCATGAAGCCGAGTTTGTATTTTTGGAGAAGGGCAGGTTTGGTTTGGTTTCCTTCAGGCAAGGAAGCCAGCTCTTTAGTTTCTACATTCTCATTGCCCGTACTCAGTAACATAGCACAAGAAGGGAAGGAAGGACAGCAACGCCCTGCAGAGAGCAGCATTAGGGCAGCTAAAGCCTGGTTGAACTGAAAGCAAAAACAAAGTCCCACCTCCTCAGAAGGATTTCTCAAGTCCCACCACAGCAAGCAATGCAGGTACTTGGTCACCACACATTAACTATCACACCACCGAGGCCCGTGCAGCTCTGCAGAAGGCAAAAAGCATGTTTTGCTGATCACCCTGCTTGCAGCCATCCCCAGCACTGCAGCGCTCCACTCCTGTTCCTTCTCCCCACCGTGCAGGATGGCGCACAGTAAATGGCATCACTACCAATAGGTGTTAAAAATTGCTAGAACCAATAAAACGTGTAAAAAACCCCAAGAGAGAACAATGCCTGGGTGTGGCATGCTGCAGCAGACCCTTTTTGGCCAGCTTTAGCTGTGGGGGGAGATGTACTGTCCAACTACACCCCGAATGAGCTGAATGGGTGCTCCCTCCTGCCCCAGATATCCCACTAGCTTGAAGCTGTTGTACTGCTCGCTCAGCAGCTGCTAGGGGCAGGAAGATCTCTCAACACAGCTTCCTTCCTTTTTGCACCACAGTCTCGTGAGGAAATCTGCTAGAACAACCTTGGCTTGACATTTATGTTTGGGTACTAGCTGATTATGGCCCTTTTTATCTTCGGGGCTGTCAGCAAGTGGCACACGGACTCACGCTCTGGCCACCAGTGATGAAGGTTATTACCAGGCAACCATCCGACAGCCCACAACAGCAGCACGTGGCAGCTCAGATATGATGGTTTAGATATCTCCATCTCTCGCAACTTACTGCTAATCTGAGCTCCAAATGGTGTATCACAGGTTGTTGAGAGCTGCTGCTGGTGGAGCAGGTGGACTGACTGCCGGGGGTGCCCAGGGTTGACGTGCACCAGCAGAGCTGCTTACAGAGCAGCCAGGGAACCGTGCTCTGGGTGAAGAGAAGCCAAGCCTTGGAAGCCCCTGGCCTAGCACCAGCCCATCTCCGGGATCTCCGCTGTTTGTTGCTGAGACAAGATGGAGAAGAGCTGGCACCTGCAGCTGCTCTGCAGACTGCACCACTCAGCTCAGTTAGGTAAGGAGGCTGGATGGAGGCAGCCTGGCATTTGCAGAGTGGGAGGGAAAGGAAGTACTGCTGCACGCACTAGGATATCAAGTCTTCTTACAAGCAGCTTTGCACTATCATTTCAATCTCCTTCTGTGAATGAGGAAGGAGCCAGCAGCTCTGGTCTGTTCATGATCTGCAGTCAGAGTTCTTGGGAGGCTTTTTTTTTCCTAACCAGACCCCTCAGCTCCTCAGCCTCCTAGGCTCCCTGCCTGGCATCAGTGGGCAGAGATGCTGCTGAAGCAGGAACACATCCCAGAGCGTGGGCAGGCAGTGGTGCTGCCCTTGAGAGCTGGGGGAGGAGGGGGCTGCTGCAGGAAGCTCCCTGGGCACTTGGAGTCTAAGGACAGAGCTAACCTCGGTGGCAGGGACTAAATGCCCTTGGAAAGTCAAGCAGGGATTGAAGAGAAAAAACTTGCACCTTTTAACTTCAGCGGACACAGAGCTTGTAGATCAGCTGATACGGAGATGCTGCTCTCTGAACAGCCAGCAGCCGTCCCTCCCGTGGTGGTGGCAGCTCCAAAACAAGACAGGCTGACTCCTAGGGCTAAACATGCAGTGTCCCTCAAGGGATAGGCTCTGCCCACATAAGGGAGAGCTTCTTGATAT